AACGCAAATTCCTTGTTAATATGCTTAAAAGCGTTGTACGGAAATTCTTAAGAGTACTATGAAATGGCTATTTTGTAGAAGTTATCCGCAGTGATTTCCGCGGAACGTAGAATTATCAGCTCGTTGGGGAAGATTTCCTTAGCGAATGCTGACCAAATATCAAACGAAACTCCATTCTAACTGAATATAATATGAAAGTGCATATAGCGGTAATTTTCATAAATGGCTTTTTTAGTTAATTCTCTGTATATTCGAACAGATGGCTTCTCTTTTCTTCCATTATTGCCTTTTCAATCTAATGATTCACTTGCATACCCAATATTCGTCACATTTCCATTTTTGTGCTTCCCAACACCAATTTCTTGTGGCAATAATTGCAAGATAATCTCGTTCGAAATCACTCGTAGAGCCATGCTCTTCCCAAATTCTGTACCGCATATTTTCTCTCTAAAGGAGTAGTTTTAAGATGCTTAGTTCTCATTAAAAGTTTGCAAATGTTTGAAGGGTTGTGTCTTTACGGTTAATTACCTGTTGGTATAGATCTGTTTGAAGAAATTTTTCAATAATCCATTTGAGCAATAGTGAAATATGTAAGGATAAAATTGATAAGAAACACTTTTTCGACCATGGCATTGTGTGTATCAATCACAAATTACCTATAGAGAGCACTTAAGGAAGTACAAAGCACAAAATGCCCTACGTCATAGAGGCGGTGCGACGATAAAGAAAAAGGTGCACAACTTTCTCGTCAAAGTCATCGTTAGGCAGCCCTAAAAGTTATGGCTGCATGAAATATGGCTTGATTTTTTCTATAATAATGCTATGGCTATAATTTGTGTTGGATAAGTTCCTGTAATTCTTTCTCCTCCATTTTCCCGTTTTCAGAATGATCAAGTGAAGTTCATATTCTAAAAGCCTTTTCCCCGCTCTGCAAAACTTTATGCATCGCTTTTTATGTCTTTTTGATTGCATGGATTTGAGCTGACAGATGAATTTGGGTAAGCTGCAAAT